AAATGAACTTCAATTTCAATTCACGGGGCAAAATTTGAAATTGTTCGTTAAACCTACCATTCCTACATCCCCATGCGACCATTTCTTCCAACAATTCAAACACTACAACTAGTGTTCGAATTCCCCTCGTCGATTCCACTGTAAGAAATAACCTGTGCCACCCAAGCTTCGACTTGAATGTGAAGTACGAATCAAATAATATAACTGCTTCATCTTCGAGGCAATATCACGCTGGTATTTGGATTCTCTGACCGACAAAAACGGTGATCAGGAAGTGATCGCCATGTTTACCTCATAAACGTGACCGTTGACCAGCCACTGAGTGAAAACAGTACAGCGCGCGGGGTAGGGTGGGTGGTGGGCTTATCGTCATAAGATATTCGAATACATGCTAAAAAAAACCTTTACGACTCTCAGTCTAAACAGCGAAGGCATGCCTCGTTGTACAGAAAACTTTTATTTTATTCTCATAACCTTTTCCTTTAAATTAGAACTGGTATTAATTAATGGAGTTATTTAAATATTTTTAACCGAGGTACTCATAGGACCTTTTTGCTTGCCATCAGTGGTATAAAATAAGGTGTCTTTTCTTTCAGAACCTTTTATTTATGCCTTATTGCACGGAATGAACACTATACTTAGAATGTTTGTTCTAAATCATTTTTGCCGTTCCCAAGAATGTATTGAAAATCATTGCTTTATACAAATCTGACTCTAAAATTAATATGATTTTCCGTAACAGTAACCAATGTCATTTACGAAAGGTGTTAATTTGAAAGACTGCTATGCAGGACACCTTTTCTTTTTCATTTTCAGTTACCCTCTACAATTTTGTATAAGTATGTAAAGATATAAAAAACACATTCAAAGGTTTTTACAAGTAAACTGTCTTTTTTTGTGTGTTGCACTCTAAATATATACATATACTTTGTTCTGGCAAAATGGTGGCTAAGAACGGCTGAATATATACCTATCTGAAAATAAAATGATGCTGTTTGGTTTCCCGTTAAGCCTTCACGTAAGAGTGACGCGTGTCTGTTCAATTTGTCACAAAATTACGTCACAAAGTCAAAGCAAAACAGAAAAAAGTGTTATTTTCATAACCAACTTACAATTTCTCCACCATAGAGAGCAACAAGGCCATTGCGTCACTGCTTGAAGGTGTAATTATCCTTCCACTGAGCACTGGCATTCATGGGTCATTTCCTTTATTTTTGACATTAGAGAAGCTTTGAATATCTAGATGTAAATGGGAGCTCGAAGAAAGTAAGATTTCCTTAAGCATAGAAACAGTAAAATAGTTCAATTTTTCCTCCTTGACGTAATCATACAAGTCATAAATGTCATAGACAACCTGATGCCTTAAGCCAATTTCTGTTGCAGCTGATTGAACGGTGGTCATGTGACTCACTTCTTCCTCGTCAACTAATTGCTCGTCAGATTTACCGTCAACCGCGGTGCTCGGAGACGAACCTGCACATCTCCTTCTCGAGGAGGACAAACGGGAGAAAAATCCTTGTATTTGGGCTTTGGTTAGCCACTCTTCCCGGGAAAACAGGCGCTCCCCGTTTTTCCCCTTCGCTTTCCTCATAGCTTGCGAGACTTGTTGCAGATCCTATTTCCTTCCAGATTGCTCACCAATTTCAAACTTGGAGGTGAGATACTGCCTTACTTTCTCTGACAAGCGAAAACCGCCACCTTTTGGCTTATGAAGTGCCCATCCTTCACTTAAATTCGACTGGAAAGGTTCGCTACCCTGTCTCTAGATAACATTGGTACTGACGTCTTCTGAAAGGGTAAGGGATGAGAATTTGTCAACCCAGCTTAAATCTAGAGATTTCAGAGCCGTTCTAATGTCAAAAATAAAGGAAATGGCCCAGTGCTCAGTGGCAGGATAATTACACCATCAAGCAGCGAACCAATGGCCCTTGTTGCTGTCTATAGTGGAGAGATTGTAAGTTGGTTATGAAAATTACCCTTTTTTCTGTTTTGCTTTGAATTTGTGCCTTGATTTTGTGACAATTTGAACAGACACGCGCCACTCTTACGTAATTTTTTTAACGGGAAACCAAACAGCATCATTTTATATCCAAGTAGGTATATATTCAGCCGTTCTTAGCTAACAACTTACGTAAATGACATTGGTTACTGTTACCGAAAATCATATTTTAGAGTCAGATTTGTATAAAGCAAAGATTTGCATACATTCTTGGGAACAGCAAAAATGATTTAGAACAAACATTCTAAGTATAGTGTTCATTCCGTGCAATAAGGCATAAATAAAAGGTTCTGGAAGAAAAGACACCTTATTTTATACCACTGATGGCAAGCAAAAAGGTCATATGGTTACCTCGGTTAAAAATATTTAAATAACTCTATCAATTAATGCCAGAAGCCCATCAAATGGGCTCCTGTTGATACCAGTTATAATTTAAAGGAAAAAGTTATGAGAATAAGATAGAAGTTGTCTGTACCACGAAGCATGCCTTCACTGTTTAGACTGAGAGTCCTAAAGCTTTATTTTTTAGCATGTATTCAATCGAATATCTTATGACGATAAGCCCGCCAACCACCACACCCCGCGCCGTACTGTTTTCACTCAGTGGCTGGTCAGCGGTCACGTTTATGAGGTAAACATGGCGATCACTTCCTGATCACCGTTCTTGTCGATCAGAAAATCAAAATACCAGCGTGATATTGCCTCGAAGATGAAGCAGTTATGTTATTTGATTCCTACTTCACATTCTAGTCCAAGCTTGGGTGGCACAGGTTATTTCTTACAGTGGAATCGACGAGGGGAATTCGAACACTAGTTGTAGTGTTTGAATTGTTGGAAAAAATGGTCGCATGGGGATGTAGGAATGGTAGGTTTAACGAACAATTTCAAATTTTGCCCCTTGAATTGAAATTGAAGTTCATTTGAATGCTTTCCAATGTATTTCTGACGGTTTTAGATCTACCTGCTCGATTTATATCTGCTACGCTTCATGTTGACAAGTCCCTCAGAATGGCGGCCAAACTTGGAGATTGCCGAAAATTAGGTAAGTTCACGGAGTTATAAAGTTTTAGTAAAGGTCGGGACGCAAAGTTTCTTTCTCTAGTTACCTTTACTATGGCACCTACTTCCTAGCGTTTTTAGTTCGACCAATCAAGATCGCCTCACGTTTTCAAAAATTTACCTTGAATTTGATCGATTCTCGCGTGTGTGACTTAAGCGAAACGATAAGGTGTCATTCAAGTCTTCCTGTTTGCTTGATTGAAATGTGATGTTTACCTCGATGGATAAGATAGAGTTAGTATACATGGCTGTGCTATTTGTTTTTTGCTGAGTCACGTAGTTTTTTGGAAATTGTCCGCCAAAGTTGCCTCAATTTAACGTCTTGAAAAGTGTCACGACAGGCCTTAGCTGGAGTGAAATTTAATTTCCGTAAAACTCTGAAAAAATAAAGAGATCCGATCAAACGGATTGCAGTTTTAATATAGGTACATGAATGTCTTACAACACACAAGAAATGAGCTAAATCTGTGTCTCAAGTAAAATCGACCGGACCGCTCTTATAGAGACACTCTGTTGATTTCGAACTGACCTCGGACGCGAAAATTCAACCCTCTTTTACATTTACATGCAGGGAAGGCAATTTCTTACTGACACGCGTTGATCACGCTCTACGTCCAATTTTTATGTTCTGATTGGTCAAAATTTGTCAGGTGAGTTCTTGCGGAAAATTTATGCAGCGTCTGGTAACTTGCTTACTGATAGCTGGAGCTGACAGAGTTTTGTGTCATCTTGTGATGTTTTAAACTGTCTTTCTACTTGGTGTACAAAATGAAATACAGCTGCTATCAAGATTGTTCTGTAATTCATTGCTGGTTTGTTTATTGCGCATTTTGTTGACAAATGCACCGCTTGTCAAAGTCATTGGAAATCCGATTTCGGATGGCATCGTTTTCAAAAACGAGCTTACTCACTTGCCTTTGCTTGAGGCAACAGAGACACTCTCTTAAAAGTGCGGCTCATGAACACGACTTATTTCATATGCATTTTAAGAAAATTGAACTTAAGCCTGCGATCATTTGAAAAGTAGCAATTTGTCAGCGGATACCTTAAAAAAACTCGAACTCGGTGGGTCAATACCTGAGCCCGCGGTATGGTCAAGCAATACTGGTCAGCAAAAACACTATTTTGACAGCTGTCAATTAATCAAACATGCATGTACAATATCAGGTTGCAGGCCCGCCAACTAGTTAGAAAGTGTGAGATTAAACATTCGTATGCCTGTGGTGCGGACGGACAAAAGGTCGGGTGGTCGCTGTACGGTCACGTGGTTGCCGAATTTTCTAGGAGGGATAGATTTTCTAAGCTATGGGGCTTCGAATTGAGCCCGTGATCAAATAAAATATCAACGCAAAACTTTAAACACTACGTGACCTCAATGGATAGAAAAATATTCGAATATTCGAATTAAGAGACTACCGTGAGTGTGAGTAAGACATATCCGTCCGGCATTTATTGGAAAATGTCAGATCGGGTAACTCAGCGAACCTGAGCCCACGTTATTAGTTTTCTGATAGTGGTCTGCACATGTCCCGTTTTGACAGCTGTCAATTGACCTTAATTTGGCTTGCCAATATAACTTTAAACGACTAGTTTCGTTTTTATGCTGAATTGGTAAGTTTGAAATATTATATCAGCTTATATGTAGGGGCAAAACGACTGGTCTTTCATCTGAGCCCGCGAGATGGTCACGTGATAATCCTCAGCGGATGTCTGATTTTGACAGCTGTCAAGCTAATCGTACTATTACGGATGGCTTACATAACTAAGAGGCTAGTTAAGTTGTGCAACTAAAATCTATTGTGACATTTGACATCGGTTTACATGAAGTGTGTGTACGGGTGGCGGGCGGGCGTACTCTACGTCATAACCAAATTTTTCTTGATGGGTAGTTTACCAAATTTTCTTACCCATGGTACTTCGCTTCGCGCGAGAGAGCTGCGCAATAACCCCTTGTAACCCTCTGTAACCCCTTGTAACCTCCAATAACCCCCCGTAACCCTTTGTAACCCTCAAAAACCTCTTGTAACCATCTGTAACACCCTCTAACCCCTTGAAACCCCTTGCAACCCCATGTAACCCCTTTTAACCCCTTGTAACGCCTTGTAACCCCCCTGTAACCCCTTGTATCCGCTTTAACCCCCCTGTAACTCTCCTTATCGCTTGTAACCCCCGGTAACCCCTTGTAACCCCCTGTAATCCCTTGCAACCCGTCGTAATTCCCTGTAACTTCTTGTAACCCCCTGTAAGCTTTAAAACCCTCGTTACTCGTTGTAACGTCTTGTATCCCCAGGAAACCATTTTAAAGCCCCAGTAACGCGTTGTAACCCCTGTAACCCCCGGTAACGCCTTGTAACCCCCTGTAACCCTTTGTATCCCCTTCTAACCTCCAATAACCCCCCGTAACCCTTTGTAAACCTCAAAAACCACTTGTAGCCATCTGTAACACCCTCTAACCCGTTGGAACCCCTTGGAACCCCATTTAACCCGTTGTAAACCCCTGTAACCCCTTCTAACCCTCGGTAACCCGAAGTAACCCCTTGTATCCCCAAGAAACCCCCTTAAACCCCCTGTAACGTCTTGTAACCCCCGGTAACGCCTTGTAACCCCTTGTAACCTCTTGTTTCCCCTTTAAACCCCCTGTAACCCCTCTTATCCCTTGTAACCCCCGGTAACCCCTGGTAACCCCTTGTAACCCCCTGTAATCCCTTGTAACCCCTCGTAACTCCCTGTAACCTCTTGTAACCCCCTGTAAGGCCGTTTAACCCTCGTTAACGCGTTGTAACGCCTTCTATCCCCAGGAAACCCCTTTAAACCCCCAGTAACGACTTGTAACCCCTGTAACCCCCGGTAACGCCATGTAACCCACTGTAACCCTTTGTATCCCCTTGTAACCCTAGTAACCACTTGTAGCCCCCTGTAACCCCTTGTAGCCACCTGTAACCTCTTGTAATTACATGTAACCCCTGTAAGCCTTTCTAACCCTTTGTAAGCCCCTCTAACCCTTTGTAACCCACTGTAACCCTTTGTAACCCCATGTAACCCCTTGAAAGTCCCTGTAACTTCTTGTAACCCCATGTAACCCACTGTAATCCTTTGTAAGCCCCTGTAACCCCTTCTAACCACTTGTAACCCCATTTAACCCGTTGCAAGCCTCTGCAACCTCTTGTAACACCCTGTAACCCCTTGGAACCCCATGTAACCCCTTGTAAGCCCCTGTAACCCCTTCTAACCGTCGGTAACTAGTTGCAACCCGTTGTATCCCCAGAAAACCCATTTAAACCCTCCGTAACGCCATGTAACCCCTTGTAAGTCCCTCTAACCCTCTGTAACCCCTTCTAAGCCCCTCTAACTTCTTGTAACCCCTTGTAACCCTCGCTAACCCTTTGTAACCCCAAGTAACACCTTGTAAGCCCCTGTACCCCTTGCAACCCTCTATAACCCCTTGTAACCTCTGGTAACCCCTTTAATCTCCTTGTAACCCCTGTGACCCGTGGTATCGCCTTGTAACCCCCTGTAACCCCTTCTATCCCCTTAAAACCCCTTTTAACCCCTTAATCGTCCCTGTAACTCTTGTAAACCCTTGTAACTTTCTGTAACTTCCTGTAACCCTTTGCAACCCTCTCTAACCTCTTGTAACCATCTGTAACACTTTCTAACCCCTTGTAGCCCCTTATATCCCCCTGTATGCCTTGTAGGTCCCTGTAATCCCTTGTAATTCCCTGTAACCTATTGTTACCACCTGTAACCCCCTGTAACCCTTTGTAACCCTTTGTAACCCCTTGTAACCCCCTGTAACCCCTCTTAAGCCCCCGCAACTCCTTGTAACCTCGTGTAACCTTTTGTACCCCCTTGTACCCTTTTATAACCCACTGTAACCCTGTGTATCTTTATTTTACCCCTTGTATTCCCTGTAACCTCTCGTAAGATCTTTTAATCCCTTGTAACCCCCTGTCATCCCCTGTAACCTCTTGTAACCGCTTGTAGCCCCTTTTAACAACCTGTAACCGACTGTAACCCGTTTTAACTCCATGTAACCCCTTGTAACCTCCTGTACCCTCCTTTAACCCGTTGTAACTCCCTGTGACCCTTTGTAACCGTCTGTAACTCCCTGTAACCCCTAGGCACCCCCTGTAACCCCCGGTAACTCCGTATAACCCCTTGTAACCTGTGGCAGCCACCTTTAACCCTCTGTAACCCCCTGTAACCCCTTATAACCCCTGTAACCCCTTTGTATTCCCCCTGTAACCTTTTGTACTCCCCTGTAACCCCTTGTAACCCCTGTAACCCCTTTGTATTCCCCCTGTAACCTTTTGTACTCCCCTGTAACCTCGTCAAAGCACCTGTAACCTCTCTTAATCCCCGATAACCTCTTGTTACTTCTTGTAGCCCCCTGTAACCTCTTGTAACCCCTTGTACCCCCTGTAACCCCTTCTAACCCCCCGTAACGCCTTGTAACCATTTGTAACCTCTTGTAACTTTGACAGAATCTGAAGATTTAACATTGTTTCTTAGATGATTCCAGAGCTTAGCACTGCAGTAGGTGAAGGATCGCTGACCGGTGGCTAGGCGACACCTTGGAATGTTTATTTGATCGCTTGTCTAGTATTTCTAGTGTGAATTTGTGAACGCAGGGTACATTTCTCGAATAGGTAGTCAGGCACAAGTCACGGCATCTTCCACTGATAAAGGGACAGTAGTCCTGAAACGTCTGGATTTTCAAACATTTTAGCGCTAAGAACACAAAGACAAATTTTAATTGTAATCAACTAATCAGCGCTACACAGTTCCTAACCATGTTTTGATCCTGACAAGTTTATTAATACATTTGTACATCATTACTGCATCGTTCAAGTAAATTCTGTGATTAACAGGCAGCCAATTTAGCGACTTGATAGCTTGTGAGATGTGATCAATTTTTTTGAGGTCAAAAAATAGCATGAGAGAGATAGCATCATGGATGCGTACTCTTTGACTGCGGCCAACAAGGTAGCTATGGAATCAGTAACGGCATGAAAAGGAGACACCAAGAGCTTGTAGTTTCTGCAATAGAATATCATGTCTAATGCTGTCAAAGGCCTTTGACATGTGGAGTAACACCAGAGCTGAGATCTTTTTATCATCAATTGCCTGCAACAGTTCGTCTGTTGCATAGAACGGCAGTCTCAGTTAAATAAAGCTTTCGGTTTTCAGTTTGAGTTTTAGCCAATATCTTATTTGCTGTAAAATAGTCGACAAATTGTCCATGGGCCAATCGTTCAGATACTTTTGAAAGGATAGCCAGTGGCGAAATAGGTCGATTATTACACGGATCTTCAGAATTACCGGACTTTAAAATAGGAGTTACCTCGGCAATTTTCCATGCCCTTACAAACGTTCCAGTGTGAAAAGAGTAGTTCATAATACTAGTGATTGACGGAAGAATTACTAGTAGACTATCCTTGAGTACACGTGCAGATACTCTGTCGTATCCAGGTGCTTTGTTTGAAAAGAAGTCTTAAATGACACGCTCAACATCTTTGTCTAACACCGAATGAAACTGAAAAGCTTCTGAGCACTGACCAGGTAAGGGTTCCACAACTAACAAGGCAGGATGGATATCAAAATTATGTTCAATTGCGAGGTCACTACCTTTCTGGGCAGTCAACTCCTTACTGACGTAAAGTATTCGTTAAATTTATTCGCCAGAGCCGTTGGATTTTAACTTCTTGTAACTCCCTGTAACCCCTTGGAACCCCCTGTAACCCCGTGTAACCCCTTGTAACCCCCTGTAATCCCTTGTAACCTCTGTAACCTCTGGTAACCCCTTGTACCCCCCGGACCACTATGTACCCCATGTAACCCCTTGTGACCCCCTGTAACCCCATGTAACCTCTTGTAACCCACCTGTAACCCTTTGTACCCCCTGTAACCCTTTGTAATCCCTTGTAAAGGGTTTCATGGGATTACAGAGGGTTACAAAGGGTTACAGAGTGTTACAAGAGATTACAAGGGGTTACAGAGACTTACAAGAGATTACAAGGGGTTCACGGAGTTGCAAGGGGTTACATGGGGTTACATGGGGTTACAGGGACTTACAAGGGATTACAGCTGTTTGTTGTTGGTTACAAAGGGTTATTGGGGTTACAAGAAGCTAAAGGTTGTTGCAAAGGTCACAAAAGGTTACATTGAGTTACTAAGGGTTACAAGGGTTTACAAGCCTCATAATTTAAGTCTTTTATCATTAGGTTTAACATTGTGTACGATCTTTCTTAGTTTAGTTTTTAGATTTATATCTATATCTTTATGTAAGTTAAATAATGCACGGCTTTTAGGTAGAACAGATGCTTTATGTAAAGTTATTTGATAAAATTTCCGTGGGTAAATAAAGTTTGCACTCACTCACTCACTCACAAGGGGTTGCACGAGGTTACAAAAGGTTACAGAGGGTTACTCGGGGGTACAGAGGGTTACAGCTGGTTAAAGGAGCAACAAAGTGTTACAGGGGCTTTGAAGAGGTTACGGGGGATTTCCAGGGATTAGAGGGGGTTACAGGATATTGCAAAGGGTTACATAGGGTTCCATGGGGTTATAGGGGGTTACACGGGGTTACAAGTGGCTACAGGGGGTTACATAGGGTGACAGGGGGTTACAAAGGGTTAAAAGTGGTTACAGGTCCTTACAAGGGGTTACAAGGGGTTATAGGAGTTAACAGAGGTTACGGGGGCTTACTCGGGGGCACAGGTTTCTACAGCTGGTTAAAGGAGTAACAAAGTGTTACAGGGGCTGTTGAGAGGTTACAGGGGATTTCAAGGGATTACAGGGGGTTACAGGGGGTTAGCTAATAGTTTGGTACCTTTTACATTTAAATGAAGTCCACTAGCATTAAGATGTTCGTTCGTGATGTTGGAGTGAGGGATTGTTCTCCAGGCATGCTGCTTGGGAAATTGGTTCACAATTTTGTTCACCTCCTTGATTTTGCTGTTAAGAGTTTGGTCTGATCTTGAAATCAACGATGAAATAGTTATATTGCAATCCGAAGATTGATTTTGTATCTTTAATCCCAGGTTGACGATACCTGCAGCAAATTCTGGTGACTCGGAGAACTTGAGGTTGTTCGTACCAACACGAAGGATAACAAGTTTTCTGGGAAGAGAGGGCATTATTTAGTCAGACATATCTTCTACCGTCGCCCCTGGAAAGGCCTTGACATGAGTCAAGCTTTCGTTACAAATTTGATTTCCGACCAGAAGATGTTAGCAATTTCGCTTGAAAATTTCTCACCCACGTTAGTAATTAACACCTTGATGGAATCGGCGGTAGTTTGGGAATTATTCAAAAAACAACTAGCTCCACCATCCTTAGCATCCCTGTCGAACTTTTCATCCGCCATTAAATTAAACTCTTCTTCTTGCTGATCATCGCCTTCTTGTCCAAGGATGTCGTGAACTACGTCATTTACTTTATTTACTTCAGTAATCGAGGAGCTTGCATCTAGGTCAAGTTGTATAGTTTCTTCGCAAAACTGGCGAAGCGAGTTGCTTGCAGATTGTACATGTACCGCTTTTCCCTGAACCAGTAAGGCTTTAGTCTTTGAGTATACGTTAAAAGTCACGTTTGCAGTTTTCCACACTGTAAATGTTCCGTTGCTGGTCTTTGACAAAATGTCGGCTGATGAGAAACCAAGCTTGCGAAGAATGAAAGACTCGAAATTTTAACGCGAGCCAGTCCAACTAAACTGATTTTTACTGCGATTGAAAAACGGCGATTTGGCCGGTTCATAACTAGTGGTCTTTTCGGTCTCAGATACATGGGTAACGACGATAAATTTGCCTCCTTCAACGCCCGTATGTTCAACGCCCGCCGTGTTCGCCCTCCTTGATGTATGCGAATGCCAAGGAATAAGGCCCCTCTAACAGGGGGTTCCAAGGGGTTACAAGGGCTTAGACAGGGTTACAGGTGTTACAGCGGGTAACAAGGGGTTACAGGAGATTACAAGGGCTTAAAAAGGTTACAAAGGGGTACAGGTTGTAGCAAGGGGCAACAAGGGCTTCCAGGTTGTTACAAGGGGTATGGCAGATTACAGGGTGTAAGAGGAAGTTACTAGAGGTTGCAGGGGATTATAGAAGGTTTGAGGGGTTTACAGGGGGTTACAGACAGTTACAAGAGATTACAGGGGGTTTCAGGGAGTAGCAAGGTGTTACATGGGGTTACAGGGACTTACAATGGGTTACAGCTGTTCATAGTTGCTTACGAGGGGTTATAGGGGGTTATAAGATGTTAAAGGTTGTTACAAAGGTCACAAAAGGTTACAGGGAGTTACCAAGGGTTACAGGATTTTCCGATCGAAAAAATTAACACGATTTCTTAGTCAAAAATCTTATACGCATCCTAACGTAAGTAGTAAAGGGGGTTGATATGGCAAGTAACCAATCACAGAGCAGTATTCTTTTGTTTAAGTTTTAGAGAACAATTCGAACAATGGAGCTCATTCGAATTCAGTACTTTGAACCAATCGCAGAGCAGCATTAGAAATGTCCCCTTCATGTAATAGTCAGCAAAAGCACATGTTATAATTTTCGCGC